CAGCGTTACCCCGTGAGGCGTGGGGCAGGGCCCTTCCGGGCGTGCTCCTGGTGAGCAGATGTGGGGTAGGAACGAGTTACAGCGTGTGCTGGGGAGGTGGGAGGAGCTTTCCCATGGTATCTGGGGGAAATCCCTGGGGTAATGATCATCCAGGCACACTGAGGTCAGAGTATCAGACCAGGAACCAGGCTGACGACAGGACGTGGATTTGGTTTTTTTTATTCCCGGTCTTCCCTTTTTTCCCCTGTCTTCTTTTGCTCTTTCTCAAGTTTTCGACATTGCCTAGTTTTAGTCTGTCACTAAGCTGAGGAACGGTGTGTGGACCGAGGAGGAAGAGTGAAGGAGGCGTGGGAAGAAATGCCAGAGATAACAGGAATCTACTTTCTGCAGAGAAAACTACTTTTATGGGGATGAGCTGTATAGCATCTGAGGGTGCATAATATCATTTCTGAAATGCAAACAGGCATTTGTAAGGCTGGTGGATTATTTTTGTCTGCTGGGTCCTGATTAGATATGTAAAAGTACAGAACTTGAGTATCCCAAGAAAGACCCGAGTTCTGTTAGGTAAAGTACCTTTTAAAGCTGAGACCTTTACACTTTTGCAGTCTGAAGCTTTCTTTTGGAGTTAGAGGGACTTAGTGTAGGAGTTCACGCCTGCCTGCAGAGAGGTTATTGCAAGCTCTAGGTATATGGAAAAGTACAGTTTGTTCTGTTGTACTCTTAAGTGAAAGTAAGTGATGAAATTACGAGCTGTTGCTTTTATGTCCTTTTTACTGCTGTGTTTGGCATAGGAAAAGGAAACCTTAAACCCAAAGATTCTTTATTTCACTTTTTTTTTCTTACTTCTCATTATTGATTCTCTTAAGCACAGTGTGTTGATTGTCGTACTTAGGAGGACCTTCGCGTAGACGGTCGTGGCTGTGAGGACTACAGATGTGCGGAAGTAGAAACAGATGTTGTGTCAAACACAAGTGGGTCTGCAAGAGTAAAGCTGGTGGGTAAATTTCTTTGGGATTGTGTACCTTGCTGATGAAATTTTTGGTTTATTTGATGAGTTTTAAGAGAAGTTGCCGCTATTTGCAGGTGGGTTTTTGTGTGCATAGCACTGATTGGAACTGGGTGAAGGAAATAGTGACGGGTTACATAATTCATTCAGGCTGCCTTAACCTGCTTGAGTTAGATTTACTGGGAAGCACCTGGACAGCCTTCAATCCAAACGAATCTAATGTTTCTTGAAAACTGAAATCGCTGTTGTGCCTAATGTCTGGAAAACAGTAATTCTGTTCCTTCAGAGTGAAGCAAAATTACTTCTGGAATGTGTTGACTGTGAAGAAGATAAATATGCTGTGCAGTATTATAAGGGTTCTGTAGAAGTACCTGTTTGCAGAACCAAATTGATAGAAGCCGTAGACCTGAAGAGTGCCTTTTTAACCTAAAGTAATAGGTATGATAATTATTTGAAGAATCTTCTTAGGCTTAATGGTGTCCTTCTAAAGCCTGTCTTCTTTTAAAAAAAAAAAACCACTAATGTTGTTTGCTCTGACAGAACGTGCAGATAACTGAAAGGTAGAAATGTCAACTTACTGTAAGCATTTAAATTAAACAGCTTCCTCTGTGACTGTAATTCCAGTTGTGTGATATGTTTGTGTTTTGACAGGGACACACTGATATCTTGGTAGGTGTGAAAGCTGAAATGGGAACACCGAAGTTAGAGAAACCAGATGAAGGTTACCTGGAATTCTTTGTTGACTGGTTAGTATACTAGAAGAGAAGGAAATAAATCTAATATTTGGAACAAATGACTAATCTTACCATTCTTCTGAAGTTTATACCTTCATTCCACTAACCTCCTGTAAGGGTCTGAGTAACAGAAACAAGTTATTTTACTGTTTCAGTAGTGGTGCATGTCCAGAAACTTTCTGCTGGCTCTGCAGACCCAAAATAAGCAAAACAATAGGAGTTAAAGAATGCATGCAGTCCCAAATTGCACAGCACTGCAGCTGGAAAAGAGTAATGATTCAATTACACATGTATTTAACATGACTTCATGACTACAATTTCAGTTGTCTTTTTTACAATGATAGAGAAAATCTCTTTCAAAAATTAAATATTTTGGAAGAAAAGAATCAACTGATACAGACTGTACTTTAACTGTACTTAAAGGTTTGCTCACTTTGTCTGTGAAAGCAGTGGGGAAGATTTGAAGTATGTTTTGTACAGCTCATATCTGTAAAAAACAAAAAACCCCCTCACTGTGAACATCACTTGCAAAAGATGATTAGAAAACTGAGTTACCGTATTGATGGGTTAATTAGTATTGCGTTAACTAAGATAGTGTTTGTTTTTCATCATATTCCTTGGCTTTGTGCTACAAGTGGACTGTTGTTTAGCCTTACTGTCTTCAGAGTGTTTGAGCTATGAAGAAAGCTAGAGGAAAACTGAGAGCTCTTGTTTTCAGGTTGCTCTGAGATAGCATAGTGACATCTCAGTGTTATTCTGGTCTGTCTGCTGTCTGAAACTGCAGTATCCGTGTCTTGCAGACTTCCTAAAACTGTTCTTTATGAAATAATGTGCTTTGGGAACCTCTCATAAAGGCCTTGGCATTGTCAGGGTGACTGTTTTGCACGTGACCTTTCTTTTTATTATTATTAAAACCAAACACAGTTGCTATGGTGACATTAAAACAATATACAGTGAGTAAAGCTAAGGTATGAGAGCTGCTGAGTGGGTATCTGATAATCTTCTGACCTAGCTGGCTGTATCTGCCTTAACGTTTGTGTCTCCCTCACATTATGCAGCCTCATCTCAGACTGCCTCTGTACATCACGATGTACTAGTTAACTGTGGAAACAAGATTTGTAGAGGGAAGGACTCACCTATGAACTAATGGTTTGTCTGTGATTACTGTTCAAAAAATATCAGGCAGGAAGATGATCTTCTCAAACGTGGTCTTGCTGTCAGAGGGGGTCTGAGCTCGACTGCTTTATAAAACTCATGTATGAAATAGCCTAAATAGTAGCCGCTTTGTTCTGGTGGTTTCCATATGAAGAAAGTCGCTTGAGAGCAGGGACATTTCTTTACTAAAACAAGTGGTCTGTGGGATGTTGAAGTTCATGACACTTCTTTCATATGTAAATAAATGTTAGAGAAACTTCATTAATTTAATGTTAGGTTGTATTTTCTAACTGTTAATCTCTGCTTCATAAGAAGATGAGAGGGAGATGTGCATCAATATTGTGCAAGATGGATCTCGTCAGTTCTAGAAACAGGTAATCCTGACTTCCTGTGACAACACAGACCAAAAGCCTACATTTTAGAGAAGGGTAGTCATTTCTTGCATGCTTGTGCTGCCAGGGAAAGGTCACCTCCAGCCTTTGGAAAGATCCAGAAGACAAAATGTGAAGTGGAGGCAGCATGTTCTCTGTAAAGGGAAGTGAGATGCTGTCAGTACTCTGATGCTTTTCCAGGCTGCCACTGGGTGGTGCTAACTGAGCGTAGTTTGATACGCTGCATTTCCTGGTGAAGTTCCTGGATGTTCTACGTGGCTTTGATATTGTTTAATAATAAAAACTCAGGCTGCAGTGTTTGCTATCTAAAAATGCTTATTTCCTGAAACTTTCATGGTTTCTTGTACTACTGCAAATAATCACTTGCTGGATCCTGTATATAATTCTCTGCCCCAGAATTCCTTTTCTCTTCATTCTGACAGTATGGCAGAACAGCCACATCAGCGTGGTGTTAGGTGATCCTCAGATATTGTTCCATTGTGTTTTGTGAACATCAGTTACAAACTAATTAACAAACATTAAGTTAACAAACATTTGTTAGTATTTTTAGAAAATACTAACTTAAAAGAAATTTCACGGCAGTGACTGAAGGTATCACTTAAATGGTGACTTCAGAAAGAAACCTTTCCTCCCCCTCTCTCCCCTACCACAAACCCATTATCATGGCAGCTGTTCTTTGCATTTACTTCTTTCTTTTTTTGGGGTGCTTCCTCCGTTAAAGATGAACTGTGTATACTGGATGGCACTGAGCTCAGTTTTCAGAGAGAAACGCCATCTGATGGTTGAGTAAAACGTTTCCAAACCGTACGAACAGGTGTTCTTTTGGATGGGAAGTGTGGTGACAGTGCCTGACCAGGCGTAGACCTGAATCAGTAAATCCGTGTTGGTAGAGTTACCAGTTTGACTGGACTAAATCCAGACCCTTGTTATCCCAGTTCTTCGTAGGGTCATGAGCTTGAATGCCATTGTAATCATGTTAACACAGTAGCATCTGGACCTGAATTCAGGTCTATCCATTTCTGGGACTGCCTTGGCAGTCTAGGTGTGTCATGAATGGGATGTCTTCTGTCTGCTTTCTGCAAGAGTGGAGTATTAGTGAGGTGGTTAACTTACTGCTGGTTCTAAAACAATGAATCTGCCTTCTTGTTTTAAGTGATTGTGTTTGGTGCAAGAACAGAAATCTGTTATTGGTAGCCTGAAGTAAACACGGCCTTAAGGGAAGCCCTCTGTGTAAGGAAGCTTAGCGCTGTAAGCTTTTGTTTTGTTAATGGTTTTCTCTCTTACAAGTGTTTACATTGTCGATTATAGTGTATTAATGGCCTGAGCAATGGGTGGGAAGGAGTACTTAACTACTGTGAGAAAAAGGCTTTGACTAGTAACAGCAGGGGTTTTGAAATTCAGTAGAGGTCTGTGGTAGGAGCATCTTTATGCTTTGGGAGGAGTCTTGATTGTTATGCAATGTGACACTGAAGTAGTATTGAAAGTCTTTAAAATTACATTCTGTTTGGGAGTAGAAATTTTGTGCTCCACCTGGCCACTACTAAATTCTTTCTGTGCTCCGTAAACCAAGCTTTTTGGCATTTTCTCTTACTAGTGTGCTAGACAACCCCTTTTCAAATTTTACCCAGTGTGAATTACTGCCATAGTCTGTAAGCATTAGGTGGCAGTATTTACCATACAGTTATTACAGCATATTTCCACGATTAAATTATTTTTGGATATGGTCCTATCCTATGAAGTTGATGTCTAACATTAACATGATTGTGAATAATGTGTGTCACACTTGCAGTGCTTATTCCTGTGGCAGAAGTAGTCTAGAAGCATGTGTCAGTGCTTGATCGGCAGTAATTTATTTTTTTAAAGCATGTGTAGTGCTGTCTGTTTCTAAAAGCAGCAAATAAATTCTATAGAATCCAGTAGCTTTTCCTGGCATTCTGAGTTTCCATCAGTTCTGCAAAAGAACAGGTTGGGAGAATTACTGTAATTCTTACAGGTAAGAATAAGAATAGGTAACCACATGTAGCTTATAGTCTGCAGTCTGCTTGATACAGCTCACTTGATGGTTTAAGTCATGCCGAGCTAATGTGGATCTTTAGTTGGTCGTTTTTTAAAGGTGAAACAAGACTTGGGTTTCTGCAGCATGTTTGTATTCCTGTTGGAAGAGCTGAGAGTTTGTTATCATCATAGGAACACAAAACATACATGAGAAATTGGCACTGGCATGTGCCCAGTCAGGAGAATATGAGGCTTTGCTATTGTAGATTTTGTACATACTGAAACTGCCTCTGTGGAACCACATCCTTTCCTGTGCTCTGTAATGAGAAATTAATCTGGGGGAGTGCTGACCAGTTTATTTAAAAGCAAGCTGCTCAGTGTGTGCCACAGGTCCCCTGCTTGAGAATGCTCTTGCCCTCTCTGTAAATCAGAGGTTTTGTTCAGAATACGCCGTTTGTTATTTTGCTGTATGCGCATCTTTGGAGATTTCTGCTCTCTTTCATTGTGACTTGTAGGTGGGGCTTTTGTTTGTTTGTTTGGGGTTGTGGGGTCTTTTTGTAGACCGGTTTTCTTTTATTGTTAGAATGTTGTTCTTAGCTGCATACAAGGCCTCAGCACCCAAGGACTTTCCTGCATGCCTGCTCATAAACAAAGTTTGTTATGTTGGAATCGGGGAAGGGAAGACCACGCGCTTTTGTCAGATGCTTCTGGAAGAAATGTTCTTTAGTTGCTGCTCTCCACAGGCTGCAGTTGCTGAAAATAATGAGCTGCTGTCTGTAAGTGGCTTGATAGTGGAGAGTAAGCTCAGTAAAGAAATTACCAATTAAGGTCAGGCACTCGTGTCACTTTACAAAGAAGAGCGTATTCTATTTGTCAACTGTCTTTCTCTTCTTAGCCACTCTCTTCTCTTATTAATTTAACATTCAGCTCTAACAGCCTGTCTTGTTAGCTGTTCTGAACTTAGTGCAGCTTTCTCCCGCTTTTTTGAAAGGGTTGAGGTGATAGAAGATGAGAGTGCTTAAGAAATAATCCCTGAGAGAATTCACCATCTTGTAACTTGGGAACTGAAGATAGTAGTGGAATTTAATTAGTATCGGAGTTTGTAGCAAAATGTAGGTGTATTATCTGCATCAGAACACTTTCTTATGCAAAATGGAAATAATTTCTTTACAGATAGGATGCTTATTGTTGTACAAATAAATCCTTAGGTATTTCTAACGCTTTATATTTAAGGAATATTCTTTGGGTATTGACTGCTTCAGAAGTGAATGTATTTTTTTCTTTCTTTATCTAGTTCTGCAAACGCTATACCTGAACTTGAAGGCCGGGGAGGAGAAGAACTTGGCGCAGAGATAGCAAATACACTCTACAGAGTATTTAGCAGCGAGAGCAGTGTAGACTTGAAATCACTTTGTATTAATCCCAGAGACCACTGCTGGGTTCTCTATGTTGATATATTGGTAAGTAAGGAAATGAAAACTAAGATTCAAGGAGGTTTCTCAAGGCACTGGCTGTCTTAGCGTAACCAGGTGCATTTCCATATAAAAAAAAGGCTTCTTAGAATGTGATACAGTGCTTCACATGGGTGGCCACTTTCTTGTGAATCTGCCTATAATAGTTAATTGCTACTTCCAGCTTGCTCTTTTTCTACTCGGTGCCGCTGCTCCACTGCAGAGCTAATAAAACACTGAATACTCCAACGCTGTCCCAGAGAAAAATCCATTATCTTATGCTAGCAAGGAAATTGCCATTAAAGAAGGCTGAGCTTTTTTCCCCAGCTAGATATAACAGCAAATGTATCGTTCTAATGAATGTAAGTTAGCAAGGATGTATGTAACTGTCTGTCCTGTCTTTGCAGTGTTATCAATACTAATTCGGTAAAGTTAAATAGAAACTTTTCTGGCAAAAGTTATGTTTGGCCTAGGCACTTTCTGATTAAAGTGTCTGTATTCAATGTAGAAGAGAAACTGAGTTATTTGTTCCCATTAAGAAGTGGAAACTGAATTTTATGACTCTAAATCTTGTGCATGCAAGCAGCTCAGTTCCCAAACTATGCTGTATTTAAAGTGCTCTGTCCTGGGAATTTAATAGAAGTCTGCAACTCTGCCTCTCCTGAGCATTATTTCTAGTTCTTATCGGTCCAAATTTGAGTTTCTGTTTGTCAAATTTCTAACTGAAAATACGTTGAAGGTTCTTACTCACAGGAATCCATTAATGTCAATGAAATGATTTGCAAAATGTTCATGAAAAATTAAATACAGGGTCCTGTTAAACAAAACAGGAGCATTTAGATTAAGACCTAAATAAATGGGAAAATTAGTGTACTAGGTGTTTAAAAAGCAGTAGCGGTAGCCCAATTACAGTAGATATGGTACATACTGTGACTTAGTCCGCATACAGAATGATCAAATGTGAGTGCTTTAACAGTCCTACTCACCAGCTCGTTGGAGCTTGGCATAGTTTAATAGAGAATGAAGTGTTTGTGCTGAGAAACCACAGTGGGGCCTTTAGTTCCTAGGTAATTACAAGCAGAGGTACAGAATATTAAATGCTGTGCTTATTTAAGCAATGTACTACTTAACATTGCATAAACACTGCATAAACAAAGATTTTTATAAAGCTGACTGCTGTGGAAGTGGTTCAATATAGCTTTTGTATGAGGCATAGCTGGTTACTAGTTGATTCTTCCTGGACAAATTTGCTGTTTTTCCACAGCTACAGCGAGAACCAGCTTTGGTATTTTTATGCTGCTGTTTGGATCAGAATTACGAATGTCAGGACCTAGGTTATGTGATGAATTTTACATTTTGTTTGCAGTGCCAGTAAAGAATCTGTTGTAGGTTCATTATTAAGACTGTAAACTTGAGGAGTCTTTTCAATGTCATATTATTCTGCAGGCATTTTCTGTGTGAGCCATTAGAACATGATACTGTTAACATTTGCCTCTTACTCTGTCCCCTGTCCCCCCCTCACCCCCTTTTTTTGCCTCACTCCAGGCCTCTGTATTTCCACATTTTTGAGGTATTTGTAATATTTCCTTTTCTAAATAGAAGACGTGTATCACATGTGATAGTTTAATGTATGTGCTTGATACCTACAGATTTTCCTGAAGCTGCCCTTGCTGAACCATGCCTATAGAATTCTGTTTTAATAGCCTGTGGTGGAAGTGTGACACTTGAGCTAATGTCAGGTACAAGTCATGTGGCTCATCATTTGAGGCAGGCAGACTATAAATATAGTAACAGTGCATATCGAGAGTTCTTCAGATTGTATTTTCCTTCAGAATTCCTGGAAATTGTTCACAGTGGTGTTTGTGTGACATAGTTAAGTCGGAGGGAAAATAAGCCTTAAATCTGTTGTAAGCCTGAAAATACTGGACCATCATGGTCAGGTGGGAAGGTGCTTGTTTTCAAGTCTCTTGTTCTGCAAGACAGAAAACCCAGAAGGAATGTTATGAACCCGGAGATGCTCCATTGCTGTGTAATGTAGCCATGCACGCTTGATCGAAGCATCTCTATCCAGCTCCTGGGCACAAACAGAATTTGAGATACACAACCTTAAAAGAGAAAACAGTGTATTTTCCATAGTTATGCAACTTATCGACTAAAAACATCTCAAATATTTTCTAGTGCTGTGGGTACTTGGGAGGTGCTATGATTGTGTACAGTCAGAACGGAGAGAAAATAACTTCAACTATACACACCAAAAAGATGCAGACATATGGACACAGACAGATATGTGTCAAAGGTCAAGAATATATTCCTTGACCTTTCAAAATACACACATACTTTCTTAATACTAGAAGGCATGCCCCTTCCAAAGAGTAGCTCGTGAATGTGGAGATACGAAGTCCTGCAAAACTATGAGCCTCTTGTCACCCTTTCTGTGTTTCCCTAAATCTCCCCTTCTGTGTCACTGATGTCAGAAATAAGCTTTTAGATGTGTGTGAGGGTGGTTTTGATACGTCTATAGCCTTCTTCACATAATTTGCTCCATCCTTCTGCCGTGCTGAGCAAGGAGAATCGGTGTGCAATCGCTTTTCATTCCCTGTCCAACCACAGGATGTTGTGTGTTGGGGAGGGTGCAGTGTGTTCTGTTGAAATTTTAGCAGTTCACTGCTGAGCACCCCTCGGAGGGTTTCCTCACCTCTTCTATTCTTCCCTAGTTTGAGCCGGCAGTGTGCGCTGGCAGCCCAGAAAGCCAACTGTATCCTGGGCTGTATCAGGAGAATTGTGGCCAGCAGGTCGAGGGAGGGGATTCTGCCCCTCTACTCTGCTCTTGTGAGACCCCACCTGGAATGCTGTGTCCAGCTCTGGGGTCCTCAACAGAAGGACAGGGACCAGTTGGAGTGAGTCCAGAGGAGGCCATGAAGATGCTCCGAGGGCTGGAGCCCCTCTGCTATGGGGACAGGCTGAGAGAGTTGGGCTTGTTCAGCCTGGAGAAGAGCAGGCTCCGGGGAGACCTTATAGCACCTTCCAGTGCCTGAAGGGGCTACAAGGAAGCTGGGGGGGACTTTTTACAAGGGCCCGTAGTGACAGGACAAGGGGTAACAGGTTTAAATTGGAAGTGAGGAGGTTTAGATTAGGTATCAGGAAAAAGTTCTTCCCGGAGAGGGTGGTGAGGCACTGGCACAGGTTGCCCAGAGAAGCTGTGGATGCCCCATCCCTGGAAGTGTTCAAGGCCAGGCTGGATGAGGCTTTGAGCAACCTGGTCTAGTGGAAGGTGTCCCTGCCCATGGCAGGGGAGTTGGAACTGGATGGTCTGTAAGGTCCCTTCCAACCCAAACCGTTCTGCGATTCTATGAAAAACGTTGTTGAATAAGGCAAGGTCTAGAATTTTTTCTCTTTTTTTTTTTTTTTCCTCCCCCCCCCGATAACTCTTTCATTTGCCTATCAGTAAATTAAAAGCAGTCTTTTCTGAAGATTCCTTTGCTTCCCACAACTCACAGTTGTGCAGACTTTCTTAGTCCTTAAAATAAGATGAGATGGGGTGAATCTCAGTACAAGGTGCTGCAGCTGAGGAGACTGTTCATTTCTTTTTGGAGGAATTGCCGTAGCATCCTTGACTCAGGCTGGGTTCCTGGCCTGTAGGTGCTGCTGTAATACATATCAGGCTTTGGAATAGCAGCCTGAACATAAGCCTAGCAGCAGTACGGGCACGTCCCATTATTGTGTCTCAGTAAGAAAGATAATGTGGGGCTTATTGTGTTACCCAGTAAAATCCAATAGTGACTGAAAGTGACACGTTAACCTCTCTGTATCCAGCAGCTGTTTGCCAACAAATAATCTGATCACTTTCGTATTTAGCTTTCTATCCCAACTTTTTGTCATTCTTTTTACACAGTTCAGTCTGTCTTCATAAAAACAAACTGTCTTTCCAGAATACCTGATTTATGATTTGCTCCCAGTGCAGGAGTTCATCTCATTCTTAAATAGATTTTGAAGAGCAATCAATGCAGTCGGTGTTGCAAAACTTGTTTGGCTCTCGTCGTGCAGCATCGATTGATGTGATGGAGAAGCATCCGTAGGTTCTCGCTGCAGTAGTTTTAGATGCTTCCTGGGGTGTGTGTGTGTTCGCAGAACAGTGCTGGCAGCTGAGAGCAGAGCTTGTCAGAGAACTGACACTAGGCTGTGGCCCAATACGTCTCTGCGTTGTCTGTCAGCCTACAGAAGGTGTTAGTGGTCACGGGAGCCCTGCCGTGTTATCTAGTGTGCAGTGCTCTTCTCTTTGTTCTTCTCCTGATGTTCATGGGAAGAAGCTAAGCTAGCCTCCCTCCACACAATGTCATTCAAATGGTAGTGTTACCAGCAAGTAGACTTTGACATCAGGGTTTCCCTAGATCTTTTCCAGCTACCAGACAAACCTGCTGATGTTTCCTTTTCCATAAAGAATAGAGAATAACTCGCGATGTGCCTTTATAACTCTGCCTTCGATAGCTAGCTTTTCGTACTGTGTTCTGGTGTGAAATTTGTGTTGCTTTTTTGAAAACAATTCTGCCAGTTGGGTTTGTCCAGCTGATACTTAAAAAAGACTCCCCTTTGAAATAAAGGGTAGAAAATGGATTGGCTTGATTTAACGTTAAAGAATGAATGTGGTGACTTAATAGAAAGTGTTATGGTCATAGTTCACAGCCTTAGCACAAGAACCGTAAGAACAGCGGTAGTTTCATTTCAGCTTCTATTATTAAATTTTATCGTTGATTTTATTACAAAGTGTGTTAACTCTTCTATTTTGTATGTATAATACAGTTAGCTGAAATTTTTATTTCCTATCTGTTGTTTCTTTTCATAGATAGGCTTTAAAGACAACTTTGTTTTTTAAAAATATGTTCTGGTTCCTAATTTTGTACCTTTTTGAGTAGGTTTAAGTAAAACAAAGCTTGGTTTAAAGGCGCTAGACTGATTTTCTTTTAAAAAAGATTCTTCTTTTTCCTCCCCAGTTATTGGAATGTGGTGGGAACCTCTTTGATGCAGTCTCTATCGCAGTGAAAGCAGCTCTCTTTAACACAAGGTAAAGCACAGATCTCATTTCGTGTGAGTGGAAGTGGCATGGGAAATGGAAAAGAAGTACTGTCTGTGAGCTGAGCGTTTTTTATGGCTCTTGACCATATTGTTTTGTTGCAGATAGTTGGAGGCCGTTGTGTTGATACCTTGTGGGTTTAAAGTAAGAAGTATTTATTGATATGTGATGCTTCTAATATGAAGCCCTCTGTCAGTGTGACTACTGATTTGTAACTAGCCCTGATCTACCACTTCTGTTGTTCTTTCTCATTAACTGTTATCCTAGATTTCTTTTTAAAACTAGGAGGAAAATACAGTGGTGAGAGATAGTGGGGAGGGGCAAGTCTTTAAAAGAATTTTTAATGCATTTTAATTCGAGGAATGGAAGAACAAAGTGTAGTAGAATGAATGATGCAAGTGCTCTGAGTGTGCTTTAATGATAACATTCAATAATATTTTTTCTAATGCCTTTATCATCTTTATCTATAGATGAAAGGGAGAAGAGAGTTTTGTAGCACCCTTGAGAAAGAAACTAGTGAATGGCTTTGCTAAAAAACTTAGGTAGCAAAAGTAGCTGTAAGAGGTCCAAAAGTTAGACTTTTAGAGGCATAAATGTTTTAAAGGGGGATCTCAAATTGTCTTTCAGATGTAAGTTAGACATCTGCTAAAGTTACAGGTATAGTTCTGGCTTATTCATCAGGGAATCAGTGCACAATACTAGAGCTGAAAAAGTACGTGCAAGAAGAGGAAAATATGGTTTTGATGACAGGCAGTTTATCAGGTTATAAACACTTTAAAAGGGGTAAGGGAAGAACCCGTCTGAGATTACAACTTGTGTATATTGGTGAGAAATCTCCCATGTTAATCAAGTTCTCAACAGTAACTTTTAACAGTAGATTGTTTTTGTAGCATGAAGAAATACTGTCGCAAATGTAATGGCTGACAAAGAGTCGACAGTACACTAGAAAAGGGAAGAAATGCCTGCATCCCTGTGCGTGAGCTTCCAGGATGCAAAAGTCATAGTTAAACAGTTGCTCCCGTGTGAGTTGTTTTGCAGATCCGAGGCACGTACTTTATTTAGAAGATAACTAGGTCTTTTTTTTTTTTTCTTATTTCAACCAGAATCCTAGTTCTGAATGAAGAGAGATAATATAAAAAGTAACTTAGATAAATTAATAAATGAAAGAAAATCTGTTGCTTTGGGAACATGGGTGACATGCAGGGTATAATTGTTTTCATGATTCTGCTTTGTTTTTATTCTTCTGCACCCTCCATATTATCTTTAGTCTGTGGGCAAGCATCCACGGTCATGTGGATGTCAGATTTCAAATCAAAATGTGGTACAGTATGACATAATGCCGAGCCTGTTGGGTTTTGATCTCTGAAAATCCTGTCTATTGCTTTGGGCAGGGAATGCTAGTATGTCTAATCTCCTGCGAGCTCAGAAAGTCAGGAGATGAAATTCCAAGTGAAAACCCATTGTCCTCATTCACTGTTCCTCTCCCTTTCCCTTGGTACCTACTAAATTTTCTTTGGATTGACACAAGGTTGTTTAGAGCAGCTGCCCAATCTCCGTAAAATATTATTGTCCAAACAAGACAAGATGGCAGTTTGAAGATCACTTCAGATTAAGTGTCCTGAACTTTGCTTGACATCTGTGCCCCTCCTTGAGTCTTACTTGTCTTTCATAATCTGTTTACAACCAGGTTTTTGTTATAAGTGTTTTCAGATCTTGGTCAGCCTTGGCTGCAGCCATGGAACCAAGAGCGGGGACTTCAAGCTGCTGTATTTTCTTTGAAGCTACAAATTTTTAGATACTCAGATAAGCATTTGAAAATGTCAGCTTCGTCATTATAAAAACACTTAGAGAAAGGTTATCTATATTATAATATATTATAATACCTACAGACACATTTTTCTTTAGGGCTAAGTAAATCAGACTTAAGGAACGTTGCACAATAATTACAGGATTTAAATCCTTTGTAAGTCTGACCTGACTCATCCCCTTCAGGCATGGAGCAATTACAATATGACTCTTTTAGGGGAAATATTTACTCCTCAGAATTTGGTATTGTTCATAGTGTTCTAAAAACTGTATCAAGATCATATGCAAAAGATAGCAGATATCAAACTTTCTGCTTAACTGCGACTCCAAGGTGCTTAAGGCCGGATTTATCCATGGTGGAGGTAGATATTGCACAATGTGCAAGTAGCTACCGTGTCAGGACTTAGCAGTAAACCGGATCCTGTGGAATGTTCCTGCTTGCAACTGAGGTGGCAGAAAGTAGGCAAGTCACAGAAGCTACCGAGTTCTTAACGCAGTGTCCTGGCAGATGATGTGGTTTATTGCTGGGCAGCACGCTAGAGGCAGAAGCGATGCGTGCCCGCAAGGGTAGAACTGGTTCTGCAGTTGGGAAATCTGGGTCTGCAGGGCACAGAAAAGAGCATCGTTCCTTACGTGACTAAGTCCTGCCGTACAGATTTCTGCCCTCATTAGTTGCGGGACTCAAAATAGAAAAATAAAAATTGCAAAATAAACAGCCAATTCTTAAGGTAAATCTCACAAGCCGGGAGAGGAAATCCTCCAGTTCTCTGGAAATGCTTTGTGCTGCGCTCGCTTTGCCTGGTTTTCGTGTGTATATACCCATTTTCTATGCGACTGCGATGCTTGTGTTAACCAGCTGTCCACTGTTGTCCATTGTCCTGGGTGGCATGAGGGTTAGTCACCTTGTGACTTTATCCCATCAATATCTAATGGATTGTTTTCAACTTGAAAGTAGGTTTGATGCATTTCCAATGAGTTCCAAAGCATTTCAGGAAAAAGGACGCATCGCAGTTGTTCTGCTTACTGAAAGTTTTAGTTTTAGCTCAGCTCAGGCCAGTGTTCTTGTAGGGAGTTTGTTCTGACCGAGCAGGGTTAGCTGTTGTGAAGTGCTTGCCTCTAGGACTCTTAGCCACAAATAACTAAAATACTTTTCCAGGGAACAACAAAAACCACTTTGCGTAGGCGTTCACTAAATCACTCCCTATCTCCTCCTCTTTTAAAAGAGATTTGGTACAGAATGCATAAAAGAATGTAATCTCCAGAGTCCAGTTATAAAACAACGCTACTGAAAAGTACTAATAGAAAACCAGATTGTGGTTACTAAGTCAGCTTTCTAGGGAGTCTTGAAGTAGTTCATGTTTTCAAGTGCAAATGTGTAAAAGTGAGAGTAGTAGGATTGAGCTGTGTGGGGGTCTTGCTGGCCAGTAAAGCAAAGGCTCTCAGTCAGTACTTTAAATTGAAAGAGTGCAGATTTAGATTAGATAGAAGGAAAAAATTCTTCCCGGAGAGGGTGTTGATGAGGCACTGGAACAGGTTGCCCAGAGAAGCTGTGGATGCCCCATCCCTGGAAGTGTTTTAAGTGTTCTGTCCTTGGAACAGTAGAGTCCTCTGGCTGATTAAAGAATGAGAGTATCTTCCCAATCTTCCCATCTTGCTAAAGAGAAAGGATTTTACTAATGTCGTCTTTTCCCTTTACCCCAAGACTCCTTAATGTCATTCTTTCCAGAAAGCTTTGCTACTTGTATTTGCTACTGATGCCTCAGCTTTGCCAAGTAATGGGACTGCTGCAATTCTGCCAGCGTTACCGTTGTCTGCAAGGTTGGGAACCACAGTGCGAAAGAATTCAGTCTTGGTAATTTCTCTCCTGTACTTCCAGGCAGACGTACAAAGAATTGCTCAGAACTGATTTGTGCAAATTCCAAAAGAATCCCTCCCCATGTATTAGTGTGAAAACCAGTTCAAAGTCTTAACAGTTTACATGATGTGAATATAATGATGTTATCCTAAATATCTTCCCACACTTCCCACAGTGTTTTCTTCCTGGTGTCAGTGGGTGAGTTGTTAATACTTTGATAAAGTTCTGGATCTTTTTTCTAAACATTTAGCCTCATTTAGAAGAAAGGGCACTTCCTGGAGTCGAGACTGTACGACAGCTGTCTGGCAATGATTTTGCACCTTTTGCTTCCACAGAATACCCAAAGTGCGTGTTCTGGAGGATGAAGAAGGCACTAAAGAGATCGAGCTGTCTGATGACCCTTATGATTGTATTCGACTTAATGTGGATAATGTGCCCTGCATCGTCACGCTAAGCAGAGTAAGCCTGACAGATTTCTCACCCTCTGCCTTGAGATTTCTGTTTCTGTTAACTTCACTTGCCATTTATATTTCCCTAGAGATAAAATGTGCTACAGAAACGGTCCGCCCTGTATATATTTGTTCATCTTCGGCCTCCTAATTAAAAAGGATTTTGACTGAATAAGAGGTTTTTTCCCACTTCTGACTTGCAGGTTTCTACTTGATGCATTCTTAAAATGCATCTTCTTGCATGCAGAGGAGTTGTTTATTCTTTTTAGTCGACTCCTGGCTCAACATCCAGAGCAGCAGGTACTTGAGGGTGTTAAACAGATGGTCGTTGTGGGGAGGCGCAGAGGTTGTGTGATCGGCGGTTACACGACAAGTATGTGTTGCTGGGAACAGAACCCCGTTTTCATGGGTGCGATACTTTCAAACAGGTTTTCCTCTTCCATATGGAGCACACAGCTAACACAGTTCATTTGCTGGATGCTGCATTTTCCGTTGCAGGAGCTAGTGATTTGCTCCGTTACCTGAAGGTTTGTCCGACGCTTCTTTTAAGGAAGTCGCATAAATTGTAGAAAGGTCGTCACGGAAGTGAGGGCTCACCTCAGGCTCGTGGGGGAGAAAGGAGAATATGTAGTTTCATAGAGATGAAAGGATGATCGGAGAGGAAAACACTATAAAATAGTGACGTGCTAATCTCACCTCTGTTACGAATCCGCGCACCGTTTGGGGTCAGAGGCTGTTTAAGTACTGTGCTGTCAAGTCAGTCTGTGACCAGTGCCAGAGGCCATGTGGTATTAGGATGGGGGCTGTTGATGACGAACAGAGCTACCACTCAGAGTTTAACATCTTCATAAAGTGCTTAGATGAGTGCAGATACCCCCTTTTGTCACTAATATGCCCTTTTGTCACTAACTTGTAGATTGGATACCGGCATGTGGTGGATGCCACCCGTCAGGAAGAAGCCTGTTCTTTGGCCAGCCTGCTTGTTTCTGTGACCAGTAAAGGCAACCTCACTTCTATGAAGAAACTGGGGAAAGGGAGCCTGGATCCTGAGACTATTTTTGAAATGATGGAGGTAAGGAATTTTGAGCAGTTACTGTCTTGGGTGATACTGGATGAACTGGAACTTGGGTATATGAAAAGCTGCAGTAAGGACTTGAAGAGCAGAGATCTTGATGCTTTTATTAGGTGCACAAGGGACTTGCTGAATGTCACAGGCAGTTCCTTGCAAACAGAATCTAACGTGAATGGATGTTATCTAGAACTTCGGGATGCTTGAAATGTGTGGTGCTCACATTTTGTTTCAGTCAGGAACTTCACAGCTGTCAGACTGCAAAGCTTAAGTTGATAAACTTTGAGAGTATTTTTAAAGAACTTGTGCCCTCCCCTTCTCATTGTTTGCCTTAAAGACTGAAAGAGCAAACCTTCTAACATGGTAAAGACCCTATAGAAGTAGAGATGGTACTTTGAATTGCTAGCGCGTGGTGTTCCCTTCTAGCACAATTCATCTGTTTTGTGGTGAGCTACTGTTCTCATTTCACTGTTGTTTCTCTTTGCTCCTTTATTGGGTTTGTGATTTGCCCCTACTCTATGAAAATGCTAGTATCTGAAGGTTGTTCACATCCATAGAATTCCATTTTAAAAGCTTTCTTCAGGCTCTTCTTAAATCTGTTTTACGGTATAAGTTCTCGTGCTTGGGCTTGGCCTTGAGCATGAGACAGAAATGAATATTGAACTTGGAGTCAAAATGAAAATGAAATGCTTCAAACTGGCTCTTTTTCCTAGAGATCCAGACCTAATTTCAGCATGGCTGTAGCAAGGAATGCAGAAATTGAAGCCAAGTTTGAAAACAGTTGGTTTCGAGTAGAAATGACATGCGGAGTATATATGGCACTTCACCGTATCATGATGTCAATCCAGAGTGCTAATCCTGGTGGTACCCCCGGGCTTTTGATCTGCATTCAGAGGTGTCGCTTACCCCCCTTATCTGGGTAGAGAGGTGTTACCTATAATCTGGCATCCTCAAGAAACTAGACTTCCTATGGAGATCTGATGTGTCTTCCTTGATGGATTTTGAATCCAGTTCTAACTATATGCCACAGAAAACTTGAGGTTTTTGGCCTAGGGCTGTTACAAAGAGATGGGTGCTTAAGTCAGATGCAGGTTCATGGTAGAAGCTGGGCTCCATGCAAAGTATCTGCCCAAAGCTTTGGTCACAGCCTCTAGTTTGATCGCCAGTTTTGCTCTACATTGAGCCCTAAATAGGAAATGAACTTCTGCACAATTCTCTGATTGCCTAGCCTACCCACAAAGGCCGTGCTTGGGATCGTGTAATAGGCATCTAAACGCTAATTAGAGATACGAATGGAAGGTCACCATGGGAAATGGTCAGACTGTCCTGCTCTGCTTAAGAGCTTTAGTGAACTTGTTGGTGCAAGGTGTTAAAAGCTTCAGCTGATCACCCAGTGAGTTGTGCTGTCTCTCACGTGCTTCGAAAGAAGTCTTCCCTCTTGGGGAGTGAGCAGTTTGAAGGAGTGAGGGATAAAGCTCATCAGAAGAAACCAAGTTGTTTTCTGAGAGGTCAGAGATTATGTGCTTGGCGCTGCCTCAAACTCTGCAGCCTGCTTAGGATGCCAAGAAAAACAAAAGGCCTGGGAATGTCCAGTGGAGGAGCTGCATAACCCTTGCTTGACACCTCCGTTTGCTAACGATTTGGCTGCAGGTCGGAGTGCATGTTCAGCTTTCCCTGCCGGGTAGAGAGCAGATGTTCCTGGGACATGTGTCTTAGGAAGGCCGCTTCATGGGAAGGTTTTGGGAAGCTGCCAGCATTAGGCTCTTTTTACTGAGTTTATAATCTGGTCCGTAAGAGAATCAAGCAGGAGTAAGATGGCAAGTGTTGTGCGTTTTGTCAACACCAAAGCTCTGCTAAGTTCCCATTCCGTTTGACCTGGTGTGAGTGATGTTGGCCTATGTTTGAGGAGAAGAACACGCGAAGTGTGCCACCCCTCAGGGCTCCAGACCATCCCAGTGCAGAGCTGCACCAATTCTTGTGTGTGCTCCCCTTTCTTTAGCATGAGCCCTAGTGCCTCGGATTGGCAGCTACCCCGCCACATCAAAGCTCTTCTCAGATTTCCTTTGGTACCGTGGGCCATATTCTGTCACCTGGCGCTTTGATTGGGACATACCTCACCTCAGGGTGTGTGCGCCCGCGATGTCAGCAGTTGTCATCAGCAGGGGAAAGAGAACTTTGTGGTCAGCTGTACAGCAGGCCTAGGCTGCGTTGCGTAGATCAGGAGCTAGTAAATGCTATTGCATACAATCTGTCTTTGGCTCTTTAGGGACAAGTGGGCTCTCTTCATCTCCGTATGGAATCGGTATATCGGGTTATGTAGAGAAACCCTGGGAAAGCTCTAACAGGCACCACTGCCTTAAGATCTTTATTTCAGCATTGCCCAATGTTTCCCTGTCCTGCAGCTTCCACACGACAGTTGTGTATGTGGCAAGAGTAGAGGCTGGTATTGGAGCTAATCCTGGTGGTTTTCCACTGCTGGAATTTTTCTGCCAAGAAAACTTTCTATTAACTCCTTTAAGGTCCTTGGACAGTGCAGAATTACACACCAGAATGATCTGATTTGGTGATGCAGTCAGTGTGCGTTTTGGGCTTCTCTGGCCTCATGACAGGGCCTTGAGCTGGTCTAAATTCGCTCTGCTGATTCTGAGCACATTCAGGAGAGTTGACTGAACTTGGTATTAGCAGGCAGCTTTGCTGCTCAGGTGTCTCCTGGCCTCTGGCGTATCGCTTCATATTGCGTGTGCTGGCTGATTTGAATGTGTGCTGTGCCTGATGTGAATTTAATTTATATTCTTGGGTGATCAGTAGTGCACAGATGTGGTGTTAATGATCACGGAATGCTTCTCTGATGAATGGGAGCACTGCCTTTATATGTACATTTTTCCAGAACTTAATCAAATGCAAGTGAAACTTCCACCACTGTTATTTTTCTTAATTAAAACCATTTTTATTATACCAGCTGGTGTATATTAATCATTAAAGGGAGAATATTTGTCAAAAGTAAGTGTTCTGTGAGAGTTGTCTTCCTGTTAATAAGCATATGTCTCAGAATTTTTTTGCTTTCTTTGCATTGCAGACTGGAAAAAGAGTAGGCAAGTCATTGCACAAAGCCCTTCAGAAGACTTTGGATGAAGAAGAGAGTTTGGGAGCCTCGCGGCAGAAAGTTGGATTTCTAGGATGAGGTTTTATTAAATGTTCAAAACTGTTTTTAACTGATTGTACAATCTTGTCGGTTTGTATATAGAAAAAGCGTATTTTTTTTGTTCCAGTAACTTTATCCTTCTGTCTAAGAGGCTTTTTAAAGAAAGCTACAGTTAAATGCAAATGAGCAAATTTGAGATGCTTTCCATATGGATAACTGTCGGCACCTAGGAAGCGCACCAGCAGCAAGTGATGGAATTAGCTGGGAAGTGCGTGAGTGACTGGGGTAGGTTCCACTTGGTTGTGTTTGCGTGTGTTCCACTCCTGCAGGCCAGCCGCTGTGTCACAGAGCGTATGTGGGGTTGTCCTCGTTGTGGCACAGGGCGGGTTTTGGGCCTGGTGAAATCTGTTCTTTTGTTCACCGGCCAGATGAGAACAGTACTTGGTGGAAGTCTTCCTTCAAATTATCTTACTCTTCTGTGAATAAAATGTGGGTAGACTTTACTGTAAATAGAACGTGGTCCCAAGTTCCAGTTTGTATTTTAACCAAGATTTCTTTGCTCACTAGAACTCTGCCTAACCCCGTTGCCAATGGATACAATAGTAACCTAGCCAAAACCTCTCATGGTGGCTACGGAGAAGGGGTTGTAAGAGTGTGATAATTCAGCTGGAAAAGCGTAGTGGCTGTCGGTAATGATGCTTTGCAGGGAAAGACAGAGCATGGCAGGTAGGGTATGCAATTGGTTCTATCGCCAGGTCTTCAAAGCAGTGGATTCCCTCCCTGCATCAGTTGCCTGGCCCAGCAAAGAGTAAGAGCTGGTTATTTGGCAGGATAGGAAGAGACAGCAGATGGAAGAAGTGGATTTTTCAAGAAGTTGATATTTCAGCCGCAAGTGTTAGAAGGCTCTTTTTGAACAAACATGATGGCTGAAGTTACTACAATAATGCAGGAATCATTTAGCTCTTAACTCAAGCAGCAGTTTCTGAATTTCCTGGTTTAATTTCCTAATATCAGATTAAGAACATTTTCTTGACTGGAACATCTCTGGTGGGGAGAAAGGGAGGCTTTTGCTGAAGGAGAGCTGTAAATAGAAGATGAAAAATACAACAGCTCCAACTAATTATCATGGTCACATTAAAACAGAGGGTGTACGAAAGGTCCCCAAATCTCTTCAGCCCTTTTCCTAGAGCTCACTCATGTAATTACCCAAGTTAACTGCAAGACTGCTGTGTATTTCAGATATGTGTAGCCACTTACTATAACAAGCAAGCAGGTTAAGTAAATAAATAAATAATAGACCCACAAAATTTGCCCAAGGTGTCTGTTTTGAAGAGGTGGGATTTTCTTCAGCGCCTTAAGTAACGGGTTGGGTAGGTGATGACAGTTCCATGCAGTAATGTAGGCAAGAAGTGACAGTGGTTGTATGTGTCATCTTTAATCGCTCCGGTACGGTTATTCTCTGTGAGGCGAAGACTAACGTGACATCAGCTTTACGGTAGCTGTGATCTGTTCCTTGCTGTGCAAAGCTACTTGCAAGAGTGTAGAAAGAAAGAAAAAATAGAGAAAAACTATTTACAGTACTTCAGACTTAGCACAACCAGTTTTTGTTTAGTCATGTGTTGTTAAACGGTTAATCGAAGTGGAGATTGCAAGCCTTAAACCACAGCTGTTCCATGAATAGCTCTTGTCTGGTTTATTACAGATTTGTGGTTGGGTACCAAAAAGCTGCCCAGAGTTACTTCCAGGGTGAACTTTCTGACGTGGTAATAATAGTGTATTTCTACATAGCCTTCCAGCTGAAGGATCTCCAAGCGTTTGGCAAGTTACATCATTTAAGATGCTTCTTGTCCCTTCTCCAGATCCCTTTAATTCTAAATTGATGGTTAGGAGAGCGGGGTGGAGAGAAACCTCACTCTGTGGCAAGCATGTTAACTGACGCGTCTGTGGAGACGAATATATGTGCATTCCTTCTCTGCTTCCTACTAAGGATGCTTAGCCCATCTGAAATCTTGGCTGAGTGCTCAAGATACCTAAAAAACAAACTCTTGGTACCTGAGTGTCTGCTGCCAGCACAGGGAAACCCGTGGAGCTGCTGTATGTACAAAAATGGCTACCTCAGGCACCAAATACTTGGTACCAAGCCCCTCCTGAGAGTGTCACCGTAAATTAACATGGTGCAAGTATCTGCAGTGCCTCCTCTAAGTGCACGTGTTCTCCCCCCAGGTCTTCTGTAGGCGTGTATGCAGGCACAGAATGAACTGGTGGGGTCTTTGAGGGGTCCTATTCCTCCCATACTCACTACCTCCCGTCTGTTGGCATGGAAAAGCGATGGGGTGGAATGCGACCCCTGTTCATACTGGGGCTGCTTCTACCCCTGAGATATAAATAATGAGCCCAGCCAAAAGTATTACACAGCTGCTGGTTGGTCTCAGCTGCCCCTGGAGGTTTGCTGCTACCAGCTCGTATCCCAGATGGAAAAACAAAACTCTGACAGGGATAAAAGGGCCTACAGCTCTCCCAGTTGATAGAACATCTGCCAAGAAATCTTTGAGACTGTAGTTCTCAGGCATGCTCAGGGCTATGCTGCCCATTTCTGTTTTCTTAGCTCTCTTTAACCCCTCCCTTCCATCCCAAACAAAAATAGCAGTTAGATTTTTTTAATAGAGACATCAACTGAGACTGCTCCTGTTCCCATCTGGGCTGGTGGAAAGTTCCATGTGTTGCTGTGCAGATATTGCCACGTTTTCATTGACTCAAGTCCAGTAGAACTAAGAGGAAACATCTGCAGAGCGGGATAGCTCTGTTTGTCCCAGAAATTAATTGCTTCTGCTGGGAGTGTCGCGAGGCTGAAAGCTGTGTACTGGAGATGAGGAGTCTAGCAACTCCTGCTGGGTTTCTACTTGTGTTGCCTAAAAAGCACCCAGCTGCAATTTACTCGGGGTTTTTTTCTTTGTTTCGTTTGTACTTCCCCCTGGTATCCCAGCTTAAAGGTCTCTTTGGCAGGGACGGTCCCGTGAAGCAGGAGGGGGCTGCAGGTCAGTGATCCCGGCTGGTTTGCTCCTCGCGTTCCTCCGGATCTGTGCTGAGGCTCAGGGTGACGCACAGCAGATTCTCCAAGCCCGGGGGTCCTGTCAGCCAGCGGTTCGCAGCTGCAGTGGCCTTCCAGCACTGCAGCGGCATGGTTTGGGGAGGGCAGGGGGAGCTTGTTCTGCCCTCGGGGCAGGGCTTGAGGCGACAGGGAGGAGAAGGGGCTATGCCGCCGGCAGTCGGGCTTTATGACAACTTGGTTCAGCGCAGCCTGTTGTGGAGACAAGCTGGTGTGAGCCGGAGCCTGCTCGTGGCTCCCATGGCACTGGAGTGTGCAAGTCTCTCTCTGAGGGTCTCAGCGCCTTGATCTGATGTAGATAATATGGAGTTTCTGCCTTTTCTCTGTAAATAGGAATTAACTGGGATTTACCACCTTCTGCCAGGACTGCCTCCTCCAGCTTTTCTTTTAAATTGCAGATGCCCCTGCCCTCCTCAGCAGCCGGATGTTCTCCAGCCCTGCTGTGGCACTGGATTACTTTGCCTGTAGTAAGCAACCACTGAGACCTAAAGAGAGGGACAAAGTGACTCTGTGACTGCTGAAGCCGGAGCGCTCCAGTCCTTGTCCAGAGCCTTGGTCCCGCCGTTTCTTTACACACACTTAAGCAAAGTGCAGGAGCAGGTCTGCAACTGGGACCAAAGCTCCTCAGCTGTCAGCCTCTGTGCTATTCCTCCCTGCTCCCCAACCCCTCGTCTCCTGGTACGCTGCTGCCCGTTCGTGCTCCCTGCCGGTGTGAGGCAGCTATTCCCGTTGGCTGTGCCTGGCAGAGGCCGGTGCAGGGGCTGCTCTCAGGCTGGTGCTCTAAATGCTTGGTCTCTCACTCCTTTTCCTTTGGTGAAGTCCGGGGCTCCCAGTGGTATCGCTCAGCCAGAGCAGGGCACGTTGGTACCCACCTCCCCACAGAGAGACGGCGGTGCCTCCGTTTCTCCGTGGATCAGCCGCGTTTCCAGCTAGCTTTTAACAAAGGCCTTTTTGCTGTTCTGCAAGACAACATGCTGCTGTTGGCGACTCCCTGGTGATGGTTTCGACCTCAATTTCATCGCCTGGAATGCTTCTTAATAAGGCTGTGGTTATCTTTTGAGCTCTGCGAACAGCTCTTTTGCTTTCCAGTTCTCAAGATTAGGGTCACATCAGCAGCGCAGGCACGCTGGAGTTTTCACGTCGCACCGTTTGTACATCAGACTCGATCTCCCTGATTTAGACGAGATGGCCACGGTCGCTGCAGCCATTTAGCTAATGCCTTTGGAGGGGAAAAAGGAGATGAAACCTCGGACGCTGTGTGACATACAGAGGCCGTTCTCCGCCCAGCTGGCATGGCAGGCGCCGCAAGCTGAGCCAGTTGTGCTCAGGCGTCGGAGGGGCTCAGAGCTGCCAGCCTGCAGGCCCTGCCTTCCAGAGGAGCTCCCTCACTACCTGTTAGCGCTGTGTTTTGGCAAACACTAAGGTTTGGTATTTCTGGGCTTGGAGACCTGTGGGTGGAAAAGTCATGATTTAAGTCCTACCTCCCTTCTTTCCCTGCGAGCGACCAATCCGAAGAGGCTTTTCAAGGGCACGGATTGCCGCCTTCCTGCCGTCTGATCGCGCAAGCTTTTCTCCAATCTCAAAAAAGGAATTCGTGAGGCTGACATTGAAATTGTCTTACAATCCCTAATTCAGCATCCACAGCCATAGGGAAGCAGAGCAATTGCTCAAAGGTGAGAACGGCATTCAAGGAGATCACAAGCTGGCAGAACCACCGTCTTACCAGTCCCAAAATAGCGATTTAATTTCAGCAGTGACCTCACCTGAGCTGGTGCCGAGACAGGCACTTCCGTGCAGCCTGCTCTGCAAACCTACAGTTGGGAGTTTCTCCAGAGTTTGGGTGTTAGATTTAGACACTTGGCTACAGTTCTCCTTTGCCTGGTTGGACTTTGGGATGCTGATGACGGGCAGAAAAGCAAAGAGAAGAAAGCCGCATTTACCCCCATCCCACAGCAGCCGCACGCTCCACACAGAA